CAGCCCACAATATCAAAAAACCAACAGCCATTAATGTCAAAAACCAGCCACCAAATCAATGGATGCCCACCAATTCTTCAATCAATCAATAGTTCTGAAACTTAACCTATAAAAAGAGGCATTGTCCATATATTTAGTCATATTAATTTTCAGATTAAAGTTATCTTCTTGCTTTCTCTCTACATCTTTGTAATGTTTAAGTTTTCTTTCATGCTATAGTAATCTCTTGTTTATGCTCTTTCATTTCCTTTCCTATACTTAGTTAACTTATATTATGTTTATGTTCTTATATTGTTTATTTGTGTTTTTCTCCTTCTTAATGTTTAGCTAAGTTAATTATGTCAAGGTGAAAAGGTTTTTCTAATGGTGTTAGAATAGGTATAATATAAACTCAACATGAGCTTTAAATGTTTATATCCAAGTGATGGTGTTAGAATAGGGATAATATAAACTCAACATGAGTTTTAAATGTTTATATCCAAGAAAGATTGTTATTAACATGTTTTATCTTTTTATCTTACTAATTCTTAATACCTTGCTTATTAAATGGTTAATTTAGATTTGTGTTGTATAATATTTGGTACATCAAATGCTTGATCCTTCATAGTTTTCGGCTGACATCGTTATTATGATAAGAACTTGATTTGTTGTTAACATAAACTAGCAACATGAATGCTTGATGATATTTATAAGTATGGTATTACTTAGATAAGATAATTAATATGATCATGTTAGTAATTTATAATGAGCTAATAACGAGAAATCATCTGATTAGAACCTCCCTTGTGTGTGGTTTCTAGTTGAGTAATAAAAAGAGTTTATATTATATTTATTTGAAATACCATTAGTGAATCCTATATCCTTGATATATGTTTTGTTATTGTTTAATCCTTACATCAATATCACATCCCAAAACTTTCTTCAACTCCTTTTCTATTATTATTCTCTTCAAATCTTTTTCTTTATTTGTAATTTATATAATTCACCTCCCTGTGGTTTGACCCCGGTCTTGCTGGGTTATTTTACTTTGACACTCCTGCACTTGGGATAAAACATCAACTCTTTGATCGTGTCATTAATAGAAGATTATCTAAAAACTCCTTACTCAGGCCATCCTTAATGAATTGTATTTTATCTTCACGGCTTATAGATACCATTCCTAAAGAATGACATTCTGTATTACAAGTACATCTGGCACATCGATGACAGAGTTTAAGTCATTTTGCACAACGTTTCTTTGTAAAAGTGCTTTTACCAATTCCAGGCATGTGTGAAATGAAGGAATTAGAGGACTCACCTAATAATTGGACCTTTGCTTCAATCAACCAGCGAATATCTTCAAGAATTCCATAATTTATTAACAACCTTAATATTGCACATCTAGCACGATAATTTTTTGTAATCGCATTCTGAGGCACAGTGGGAAAATACATTTTCAATTTTTCAAGATTAGTGTCCATTTTCAAATGAGAATTGGAAGAAATATTCAAAGAATTGCATAAATATATACACAGATATTAGTTATTATGGGAAACTGAAAGAACCGACTTAAGTCACAGAGTATCGTTGTCCGCCATTTGACCAGGGTGAGAGAAACTACAGGTCTCTATAATGTTTGATCGAATGAATGCAATGTTTAAACACGCTAATGCTTTATTGTCTTACCAGGTGGTCTGGGCACATTGAAAGAGATCTTTCATATTACTTCTTGGGTCCAACTGGACATTCACCATAAACCTATAGGTTTATGGTATGTTAATTGTTTTTATGATAAATTATTGTCTTTTCTTGATCATGCTGTGGAATAGGAATTTCTAACATCTTTGGCAAGAAAAATCATAATCTCTGCAAATATTGTTGAACAATTAATTAACCAACTATAATCTTTCACTCCTGTAATTGATCCCTTCATGAGTCACATAAATTGATCAACTAAAAAAAGTCGTAAAAAGCTTATATTGGATTTAAGCCTTCATTTGTGAATCCTTGTCTTTTGGTTTTCTTAATAGTATATTATTTTATTTTGTTATTTCTTATATTTATTTAAGTGTGTTTCAGGTAATGTCTTTTATACTCTATTTTTCTATATTAGAACACTGAGAACAATATCTCATTTTGAGTGGGGGGAGAGGGTAGTATTTGGTATTAAAAAAAACTAATTGTGTTTTTTTTTCATAAATTATTTGCAAATTGTTGTTACTAAGATGGTAGAGTAAAGAGAAATTTTATTGACTGTTGAGACATATCTTGGTTAACATTTTTCAATGGTTATTTTCAATATTCATAACAAGGTCTATCAAAATATTTCTTAAAATATTCAAGTTTACAAATTCTCGTATTGTTATCACTTAATTCTGATTATATACTCATTTAACAAGTATTCTTAAATATTTATTTTCACACACACACACACACTTTAATACATGATTGTGAGTTGCACATTGGATTATTACATTGTTTATGTTCTTTTATTAATGGTAACAAGGAAAATGGATAGTATATAAATTGCAAAAACAAAAAATAAAAAAAATGATGATAATAAAAACATAGATAAGTTTGGTTTTGTAGCCTTCCTAACCTAAGTAATTAAGCATGAATGAGTGTTTTAACACCTAATACACTAAATCAATTGACTTGGGAGCTATTAGCCCAACGTTTGTTACATGGGTTGAGGAGAAAAGTTTAAGCGAATCAAATATTGCACTATCTATGTATCAGTATCTACAACCTGAGTTACTAAGCTCGTAAGCATGTCTCAACACCTAATGCCCTAAAACCAACTGGTTAGGGAGTCATTAGCTGAAAGCTTATTACATGGGTTAAAGATACATTGTGTTTTTAAATTACATGCCTATATATTTAAAAAAAAACAAAAAAAAAGAAAAGAAATCTCAACCCAGGGAAGTTAACCTCAAATATTAGAACAAAAATTTTATTTCCTTCCAAGTGAAACCCCATAACTATATATTGATATATTAAGCACAAAAGAAAGGTTTATTAATATTTTGTTTAAGAGGTATTGAGCTGATATATAAATTGAATGAGAGTTTGTTTATCTGGATAGATTAATAGAAGTTGAACGATGAATGTCTTATTACTTTATAGAATTTATGAATTATTTTTTTATTTTAATACTTTGATTACTAGGCACTAGTAAGAAGCTAGTTGAGTTGTGCTATTAGTACTTAAAAATATATTTTTATCAAGGTTTTATATCATCATTTTGCATTTAAAGTATCAATAACTCCTTAACTAAAGCATGTTTGATAATAACATGTCTAATAATATATGATATATTTAATTTGTGATAAATTTTTATCTTAAATGCAGGCCTATCACATAAATGAAAGGATTGATTAATGAGTTTAAATATTAAAATTGAAAGGACAAAGAGATGGCCAAACTTAGAAAAGAGATACTGGTGTTGTCCAAACAGGAACACTATTATGTAATTGGGTCATATCTGGAGCTATAGATCTCGAATTTAGGTCTACTTTATATAGATGGAAAGCTAAGACATGGCCTTACAACTTTCATGTGGAGGTCTAGTTTTAAAAAGACCATTTTCAAGTCCAAATATGTTCTGCAACCTAAACATTGTTTAGTGTTCAGCCTATATCTTGAGTTCTACAAGTCGAAATGACCTCAATTTTATTTTCTGGAAAGCTTAAACAATTTTTTAAAATTTTGATGTAGATGTTTGGTTTAAATTATGATGTTATCAATGACGTTTTATTCAAATAAAAGAACATAAGGATTGTCACCAAGCCAAGAGTTAGTCACCTACTCATCAATTATTTATCAAATCAATAGTTCTCAATTTTAGCCTATAAAAAGAGGCATTTACCATGCATTTAGGCATCTTGGTGTCCAGATCAAGATCATGCTCTTGTTTTCTCTCTTTGTAATTTTGTAATGCTAAAGTTATGCTTTCATTAATATTTTGTTTATGCCTTTCATTTCCTTTCCTTTACTTAGTTAACTTATATCTTATTTATGTTATTATCTTGTTTATTTATATTTCTCTTTTTTATTATGTTTAGCTAAGTTTATTCTGTCAAGGTGGAAATATTATACTAATGGTGTAAGAATAAATATAGTGTAAACTCAATATGGACCTTAATGTTTGATACTAACATGTTTTGTATTTGTTATTTTATTCACTTTTAATGCTTTGCTTGTTAAATGGTTAATCTAAATTTATGTTGTATAACACTTGGTACAACAAATACTTGGCACTTTTATAGCCCGACCGTATGGTATAACCTATATTTATGCTATGAAAGGAACTTGATTTGTTGTTAACATAAGTTATAATCATGAATGTCTGACAATATTTACAAGTATTAGCATTATTTGAATAAGATAACTAATATGATCATGTTAATAATTTATAATCTAATTGGAACCTCCTTTGTGTGTAGTTTTCATTTGAGTAATAAGAGTTTATACTATACTTGTTTAAAATACTCTTGGTGGATCCTCTAACCTTGACATTTTTTATTATCACTATTTAATCCTCACATTAATCTTTCATCTTAAAGTTCTCGTAAACTTCTTCTTCTTCTTCTTCTTCTTTTTTACTACTACTACTACTATTAGTAGTAGTAGTAGTATTACTACTACTATTATTATTATTATTATTAGTAATATTATTACTACTATTATTGTTGTTATTGTTTATAATTTATATAATTAATTCTTTTATGATTCGATCTCGATCTTACTAAGTTATTTATTACTTTAACATTCCTACCTTTAAAAAAAATTAATTTTTTAATTATGTCCTTCGTAATACTGTTGATTCTTTTAGGTGAAGGCAAGGAAGCTATACAAAAAGTAGCCATAAAAAAGGAAAAAACGAAAGCCAGGAAAGTCTCAAAAACATAAAACATACTCAAATTGAACTTTATATATGAATTAATAAAACAAATTAATTAAGTACGGGGATTACATCGATCACACAAATTTATTTTATAGCATGCAATATCAAATGCCAGGTCCACATACTGTGCGCCATAGCTGGGCATCCCGCCTCACAACGTATGAAAATTTAAAAGGAAGAAAAGAGCGCCCTCAACAACATTATTTTGTGGCAGTATGAGCTACAAGGAAGCGTAGCAGCTGATCATTTACTGGAAGAGCTCGTCTGGAATGACCTCATCATGGCAGCAAAGGAAAGTGGAGAATTTCTCCATGGTGCGGTGGCACTCTGGGCATTTCATGGTCTCAGGGATCCTACCCGTTGTCATTGGGAAATCGAAGCGGCTGCAAGGACGAGCAATGTCATGGATCAGGCCTTGGTGATCACGGAAGGCCAAATCAAAGCCCTTGACAGGCACCTGTCCCTTCCACAAGTCATACTCAAGCAATGTTTGCAAAGCTGTGGTCTTGTGACCATTGGCCACAACATTAGACCCATTGCTAAGCACAGCCCATCCACCTTCTCTGTCGTAGCTAAGCAACTTCTTGATTTCTTGCATCATGGGATCATGGTCATCAAGCTTGCCTAACTGAATCTTGGAGTACAGCATACTCTCTAGCCTGGTCCAAAAGAACCATATCATGGTAAGGTCTTGCCAGGCGTAACTGAGCTTCTCCCCGGTGATTGTCGCTATGACTCGCCGGATTTTCTCTCTTTTGCTGCTCTTCCCCACATAAACCATCTCCAGGTGAATGCGAGCTGACTGCGCCACAGTACGCGCGGTGTTTGTGAACTTCCTCACCCATTCATCGTCGTCTCCTCCGTACAAGAAAATGTACTTTCCTTCCTTGATCTGGTGATCAAAAAAATATTGAAGCAAATGTCAACACGATTACACAGACACACGTATAATGTATGTATATTTGGATTGATGCTATAATGAATTTACCCAATTAAGAATCACTGGGTCAATGCCATCCACTAGAAGCTCAAGCCTCCATGTCTCATCCCTCCAGAGAGATTCCTCTCTCGAGCTAGTGAAAGGGAAGGCACTGCTTCCCCATATCCACATCATGTGGAGTGCATTTGGGCAAACCACCTTGCCTTGCGGGTCAAGCACCACAAGAATAGGCTTGTTCCTGAAATGCCACACCTCCTTAATAAACCTTATGACTGCCTTCTCAATCAGTGAAGGGTGGTACACTGTGAACCATGGCATTGAAGACTGCATGCTTTCAAATTTCTCTTTCATTGGATCGCTCTGGACTGAACGGTCCACAATTGGGATCCAGACCACCTCATACTGACTATCCAGCCTAGCTTCGTGATGCCTGGATTCATTGTATATCTGTTCAAGAATTGAAAGCTCATCGTTCGACATGTCGAGGCCAGAAATCAGCAATAGCACATTTTTCCTTCTTAGCACATCAAGATGGACCTGTTAAATTCAAAAGGCAGTATGAGAAATGTTTTACAATATATTGATAACATAAATAGAAGAAATGGTGGAAGAGCGAACTCTTTTCTTGGAAGAGCCATCTATAAGTGGCTGGATATCATCCTTGGCATAAATCAGGGCCTTTAGGACCTTCATGTTGTCAATGTGGATCGTTTCAAAGAGATTCTTTAGCATTTGAAAGGATTCGACATTTCTCTTTTCATCTGCATCAAACACCATTGTTTATATAAGCGTTCTCGATCAATCTTCGTACATTAATTTCCTGTTTTCTTATTACGTATCCAACACATGATAGCATTATACAAAAGTTGCTGAGGTGCAGACCTATGTGCTGGTAGCAAGTATCCAATTGCTTCCTAAGATGGTCAAGTATGTTGCTGAGTTTGTGAGCCAAGCTGGATAGCTCCCATGCCACAGTGGTTGATATAGAAAACCTGAAATAAGTGAAGGAGAATATTACTAGGAATACATGCTTGATGTAACATATGGCTCAATAAATTAAAGATGGTGAGCTAGAAAAGCATACTCGTGTCCCATGGTAGTGAGGCTAGTAATCTGAGCCGCACAAGCCACAACGCTCCTCATGGTCCAGTAGACAGCAATAGGGATATGGGCCATGGCTGTGGACAATGCTGCTACTTCATTAGATATGTAAGCTGGCGGTAGATCCTTGAACTCAACCACGCACCTAGCCACGTCCATCATGACCTTGATCAGATTGTTAATGGCATCGAAGCGAGGCTTCAAGGGCCCTGAGTGTTCCATGATGCTAGGCAATTGCCTGAGTATTGCCATGGATTTGGCAAGTTGGTTTGATGAGTAAATCTGGGCAAGCAGCCAGAACTCTCCATAATTCAAAGCAAAAGCTGCTAAGGTGAGCACCAGCTTGGCATCCCAGGAATAGCTTGGTAGCATGCTGAAAAGTGATACAGTTGTTGCGTGGGCATCTGTCCCATCCAGTGACTTGTAGGCAATCTGCAGAAAACAATTAAGGCCGAAAAATTTCAATTGATTCTTTAGATTATTGCCTATATACCATAGCATTAAAATTGAAATATATTGTCTAACCTCGCAGGAAATTCTGTCTATTGTATACGACAATGCATCGAGCATGGAAACAAAATTGACTTGGTGAGTCTTGTCCTCCAATTCAGCATGGGCTTGGGAAGTCTGCGTTGTCAGACGTGATCAGAGTAACATAAATGAACAAAAAATAATAGAGTTAAGTTGATATTCAAGTTAATTTCCAAGGATGAGTTTAGTTTAGTACTATACCGTCAGAGAGGAGTCGATCTGCAGGGTGGCACGTTTGAGGATGTCTTCAACTAGATGGAGAAGAGGTTTGACATCAACCTCTCGGCCATCAGGAGCATGAGTTCCTACAATTTGTTTCATCATCACATTGTCATCAGACATTGTTAGCATGCTGCCGCGGTCACTCTTGATCAGTTGCTGGCTCGCATTAAAACCATGGGCAGGGTGCCTGAGGGAAAGGCCTGATGCCATGGGGTCTAATTGAAAGCAATTAATGGATTCTTTGGGTTATGGGGAAGAAGTAGAGAAGATTGGCTTGTGTGTCTTGTTCCATATCTGGCATGCCTATTTATACTATTAGAAATGGAATAAAGCTCAATTGAATCAACTTCCTTACTTCCCTATTAATCAAAATATTGGGGACGTTAAGGAGAAGGCTATACTTTTGTGGTCCCTACGTCTACCCATCTTCCTCATTACTTTATATAATATGGATTTTACCCTACAAATCTGTTCAACACTCCATGACGATGATAAGTTTGGAACCTTTTCATCTTTTTGTATTTTCTAGCAATTTGGGAACTCAATCACAAACTCCCTTTAATTTCTTGATAGCTAATTAACATACAAGTAGGTTAATGGTACATTTGCTCCTAGTGTTCTTGACATTTACTCAATGTTGCCCCTCTGCTCAGTTCTTAGTTGATTCCATAACTAAAAAGATATGGAAGAGAAGTATAATTGTGTGATAAATGTAAGATCCAGTTGTTTAGTCCATGCAATATCCCACAAATGAAAGGAAAGAAATAGCAATAACAATTAAAGTACTGTTGTGTTTAGTTGTCCTGGAAGCCGCTTAGTTGAACAGCGAATACACAGTATCATCAACAGATTCTAATGATATTTTCCGCTAGAATGTAGAGCCACGATCGAGAAGGGTGACTGACCGATCCTGTGCTTGGCTTCCTTACTTATACCTGTTTTTACGTGTGCTAGTAATTATCGAGAGTTTTCTTCTTTCTCAAGAGACAAAAAGTGAAAGAGAAGTAAGATATGATTCCTTGCTTTGCTGGGGAAAGACTAGAAACTTGATTTACCAAAATATGCCCACTGTTACGTACAATCCAACCCTTAAAAGAGCACGTTTGCGTTCTTGCCTCGTATTAGTATGCTTTTGGTTCGGATCTTATCAAGCGGCCGTTAACTCTGGAGACTGCATGCCGACATATTTAGGCTCCATGAAGGCATGGAATTATAAGTGATTCTGATAGGCATAACTATTATTTTCAAAAAAAAAAAAAAATGATTACTATTATATATGGAGAAGAAGTATTAAAGGAAAAGGTCGGAAGAATTTAAACTTTGGAGGAGGTATGACTATTATAGTCTCCTGTAATTCTTAAAGTGATGCCAAATCAGTGATTTGGGATGGAATATCATTGAGTATCTATAAAGTTTTTAGTCAAATTATTAATAGCTTGTAGATGGTATGTCTGTTACTGGTTGTTTCAATTAACCAGTAATTCAAGATGGATGAGCAATTCTTTATTTCTTTTTTTCTTTTGGTTACGCAAGAGAACTTGGAAGACCAAGAACAAGAATATTAATTCTTTAAAAAAATAAAAAAATCAAATCAAATTTATGCACCTAATTAACCTAAAAAAAAAGAAGTATGCCTAGAATGTCAAATCAGCACCCTTTTTAACTGTTTTTTTCTATTAAATAAATAGAAAGATAACAAATGATTTATCTAATTTTAAAAAAAAACTCAGAAAATTCATCATTTATTTGTGCAACTGATGTGTCATCCATAAGTATATTTTTTGGCCGCCTCATATGACTAGAAAAGTGAGGTTCAAATTTTTAAATCCTAAAAATCTAATATTCAACATGTTGTACCATATATAAAAACATTTTAAAATTCTTAATAAAACTATTTACAACCCCTCAAACACTCTTTACTCACTCTAAAATATGAAAATTTAATAAAATAAAAAACAATTTACAGGCTTCAATCTTTTCTTTTCTTTTCTTTTCTTTTTTATGTTCAAAGAACAATAATACCTACATTAAACTTCCCTTTTTCATAATAAATTTATTTACACAAAGATGAATTTTTTATGACTATATTAATATGATTGGACAAACTTTATCCCTGCTCTTTTAACTTCTAAGAACTAAAACATAATAGATATTAAAGATATAAATATAAATATCTAATAAAGCATGAATCAAACATGAAAAAAAAATTAAGGATTAAATTGAAATGTTCCACACTTTGTGAACAATTTAAATGGAAAAAACACTATTATTATTTTATACTAATTTGATTCTGGTTCGTTCAATTATTTTAATAATAATCTAAAATTTTATTTTACAACATTGATGAAAAGGTTAACAGATCACATAAGCAAATGTGTGATACTACGTCATGTTAATATTAAACTATTTGATACATCAACCAACATTAAATATTCTTTTTAATGATTTTATGAGCACT